ACCTTGGTTTTGCTGACTGGGGTCTGTGGGGTTCTTGTATGATCAGCGAGTAATAGCCCCTGATGGATAAGTCGTGTTCCGTGTTCTGTGTCAGGTAGTTACTGGAATTGTGTCAGGTGAATCGGTTTGTTCGATGGGTATATCGACAGACTGTAATAAAGTGGGATATTATGCTCTGTAGGCGTACTTGTGGTCGGGGTATACATAAAGTGGTCCTGGTTTACTTTATAATTGCTAAGTGGCAATTAGTCACTTCAAAGCCCACTTTATAGCAGTTCCCCCAATTAGGGGTCACCGTTTCGTGACATTTACAGCGCATGAGAGTCTCTGTACCTCTGGAACGAATTAACTACAAACTACAGACAACACCCTGTCACCCATTAAAAAAATTAAGCAGCTGCAAGGCAGAGACGCGTCGTCAGTCGGCGTGCTGGGATGTTGGAGCCGAAGCTGAAGGAAGACAATTGCAATATGTACAGGAAAAAACACGCCCCCCCTCGACTTCCCCGTCTGGCCCAGAGATCAGGACAGTGAGCTACAGGTTCGGACTAACCGCCACCGACCTCCGGTTAAAAAAACGCCAGAAACGTGGAGTACAACACAACACGGACCAGCATAAACTACAGGGGGGTTTAGCTATTAGACCCACTCAAAGCACGATTAACGAGGACGACAAAGAAAAAACGGGCGCAAGAAAAACACCAAAGAGGTGGACCATCGGCGTCGTTAAAAAAACGGTTGCTATCCGGAGGCACAGACCCTGCCAACGAATGAGAAGAAGAAATAGGTGCTAAAGATAGAAAGATTCTGCAACACGACTTTTAGAAACATTTCTACTCATTTTCTGCCATATCTCCTTTCTCCTTTATTATTTTTTCATATTCGACCAGCTGTTTTAGTGGGCGCGGGTGAGAGGGTGCGCGCACCAGTGGGTTCAAAGTTTATGTGCGGCGCCTTGACTTCAACCTGCCCGACACGGTGACGTTGCCCAGACTTCCATTTAAGGTTATAAAAAAGGCAAAGCTGGCCAACTCCGTACGGTTCAGCCTGTGACCGCATTCTGGTCAATGGGCTGTACCGCAGCCAGCCTCGTACATCGTTATAAATATTCTTGCGGCGCGTTGCGTCATCTGCGCTGACTAATTTCCTTTGGGGTCTGGAGCGGTGGTGAGGTGATCGCCCGAACTTCCCGTTATAGCGTGGGTAAATTCTTCAGCGTTTCGCAGAGTAAATCACGGCCCGACCTCTGCTACTGCCAGACGTGCTGTAATCCGTCCAACATGACTGCCAGCCATAAGCTAATGCGAGGCAGAGATGTTAACAATTGCGCTGCAATTAGTCCTACCAGGGACAGACAGAACTCCACAGGATGTCGGGGTAGTCGTTATGTTTTGAGGGAGGGAAACAGTATTTAAAGCAGTCAGCGCGCAATTATATCCGCCGTATTTACAGATTTTTTGTAATTTTATTTTTGCATTCGGTGACACGTTGAATTGGATGGCAGTTTGGACAGCAGATCATATACACGTGTGTGTGTGTGTCGGCTGCCTTCTGAAGGAACGCGATTTCTTGCTCCGCTTCGCCGATTGTCGTTCCGCAGGACTCGGAGTTTCCAGACTCTCCGAGCTCCCCAAAAGCGCTGTCCTACTGGGGAGGAGCTTAAACACTCCGGATCGAGATTCAGCCCGGGGAAAGTCTGTCCGCTAAGCCGGCTAACTTTCTCACACGCGTGTGAAATACGCGTGTGTTGCGTATTTCGCCGTTTCTTCAGGAGAGGAACTCGTGTTTTCTCATACAAACACAGTATTTGTCGCTAGGCTGTCCTGACCGGGACCTTAGACTTCAGACAGGATGAGAACAATTCCAAACTTCTTCCCGCGGCTTGGCTTTGCCAATTTCACTTTGGCAGAGAATGAATTGGAGAAGAAAACAGAAAACCACATACTTCCAGGTAAAACCATGAAGAGCCTTCGCAAAGTCAGATTTGAAACTCTATCGATTATTCATACTTTTAGTGGAGACAGTGGAAAAACAAAATCAAGTTCCCCTTCCTCAGCCATGAAGAGGGTACGCTGTCCAGATTGCTCTAGAAGTCTCCGGATTACAATATAGACATATTTACTGCCACTCCAGTGTCAGGGGGACATTACCCCTCCACACTGCTGTGACTAGAGCACAGGTCGGACTTGTTAGGGCAAACTGAACGAGCCGGCGTGGGAACACTAGCGCGCGCGTTACACACGTCTTACAGTAACCCAGCAACCTCTCATCACACTGTACCACCACCACCACAACAATAATAATAATAATGACACTTTAACACCTGAAGAAGGCTCCACAGCCGAAAAGTTGTGTTTCCTTTCTTTTCCTTTCAGCCTGGAATAAACCCGTTACCTGTTCCTTTGCATAATAATAATAATAATGACGCTCGTACAGTAGAGACACGTCATCGCGGTTTTTTTTTTAATGTGGGCATCATCCTACCTGTGTTCTGAGATCAGCTTTCTCCGCGCGGAGCCGAGACGCGTGGAGTCCAGAGCTGTATGCCGGTCTGAGCGAAGGACCGAGGGAGGAGGGTATAGTGGAGAGAGGGAGGCGGGGGGCAGACGGAGAGCAGGACACGTGTGTGTGTGAGAGAGAGAGAGAGGGCGGGGGGCGCCTTCATTAGGTCATGTACAGTATTTACCTAAGAAACACCAGATTCGGTTTAAAGGGCATCCTTTGTAGCCCCATGTACTGAGAATTTCTAGTCTGCAATATAATTCACAATGAGTCCGCAATATAAAGAACTGCTTTAGGGCTTCTCTGTGTCGCCGTTCAGTTCTCGCATAAACTCATTTTGGGTTCGTGCTTTTAATCATTCTCATCCCTAATTTCAGCGAAGAGGATATTATTCTAACAAGAACCCTTACTAAGAGCACTTTAGCTGTAATGTCTTAAGTGTTTTGCCGACCTCGCGTTAAAAAGCGACAAAAACGTGGAGTAAAACCACGGACCAATATAAACGACAGGAGAATTAGACCCAATTAAAGCACAATTAACGAGGAAGACAAAGACAACTGGGCGCAGGAATAACACGAAATAGTTTCCAAAGAGGTGGACCATCGTGTCGGTTTGCGCTCCGGCGCGACACTTCGGATAGAAATTCAGTCCGGGACAAGTCTGTCCCCTAAACCGGCTAACCTTTTTCACACACGTGTGAAATACAGTACGTGTTTGTTGCGTATTTCGCCATTTCTTCAGGAGAGGAACTCGTGTTTTCTCTTACAAACACAGTATTTGTGACTAGGCTGTCCTGACCGGGACCTTAGACTTCAGACAGGGTGAGAACAATTCCGCATTTTACTCGGAAACAATTGACAGATTTTGGCGCAGACGTCACTACCGTGCGGCAGATCGATTCCTCTTTTAACAGTACTTCTAGTGTCTTTGAATTTTTAAAATCTTCAAGGATCATGAAGTCCGAAGAGGTAACAAAAAAACCCGGAGCTTTTTGAGCAGTGAGTGTAGAAGGTGTTAACTCACTGTACCCTGTTGCTTTAATGCTGCTGAAATGGACTACCTGAATGTATATATTGCAGTGCGCTTTTATATCGTTGCATTAAAAATAGTGCAAGTAGCATATGGCACTTTAGGGCTTAAAAACGAGCTAAAAAAGCCGTCATGGCTTTTAACTGAACTACATAGATTTCACTGTTTTTTTTATGAAGAACCCTATGGGTATTGACACGTTTTAAACAGTTTCCTAATGAAGCAGGAAACCTGTCTGAGAAAGATGTAACGCACTGACCATTTCCACAGACATGGCGTGAATGCGATTCCTCAGAAGGACGTCTATAGGGCTTAGAAAGCGAGCACAAAGCCTGCACTCATTCCGCTGTTCCCTGACGTAAGGCTATGGACAGTTTCCCTTTCTACGCTGAAAGCACAGACAGCTGTGTGTTCGGGGCGTGACGCAACCCTCGCACCGCTTGGTGTGCAGATCCAAGCAGCTCTGAGCAAAGGCAGCCAAAGTGGCGCTCCAGCTGTGGGCCGGCTGCCCCAGGTTCAAGTGAACCGCGCCGGCCGGCCATGGGCGGACCCGCAACCGCGAGCACGAGCCGCCCCTTGTCCAGCCACTTCCTGCGGTCGCGCGCGCGCCCGCGTTCCGATCTCTGCCCGGGCGCGTCTCTGGGTTGAACAGCATGCAAACCTTTCACTGTGTGTTACTAGACAGACCTCCTCACCTTGCAGATGAAAAAAAAAAAACAATTGAAAAAGTCAGAAATAAAAAAAAAGATTCTCCATTATTACTGGTTTTACCATCCAAACCTCATTTGGAAATCATGTATTCAGCAGCTCCAAGACCGAAGAAGTGAGTTACATGTTTCATTTACTTCTATTATATTTGATATGGATGCGAGTTTTATACCATCCATTATTGTATTCTTGCTTATAAATAAAAGTTTTATTATACAGTGTATGCAAATTATTTTTTTACTGCATTTTCAAAATAATTGTGTAACTAGAAAAATTCAATGCAGTCGTATCCCCAGTCAAACTACAGAACCAACAGACTTTTGTCTCCTTTCATGTAGACATGACACAAAGTCCGGCTGCCCTGCTGTGCACCAGAGGAACCGAGCCCAGCGCCGTTCAAACCCCTTAGCTAAAGGCCCAGTCCAGACCAGCCCAGCTGTGCACCTGAGGAACCGAGCCCAGTGCAGTCCAGCCCAGTGCAGTCCAGCCCAGTCCAGCCCAGCTGTACACCAGAGGAACTGAGCCCAGTGCAGTGTATAGGCCCAGTCCAGTCCAGTCCAGTCCAGTGCAGTCGTGCAGCAGAGGAACCGAGCCCAGCGTAGTGTAAAGGCCCGGTCCAGTCCAGCCCGGCCCATCTATGCACCAGACTCCCCGCTGCACCGAGATTCGGGAAGATATGGCTGCGGGCTCACGGTCTGGTCTTGGGATCTCAGTGCAATATCGGCGAGGGTCCGCTTAACACCAGACCCTACATATTAACTCCGTTGCGGGAGTGAATTGTTATTTTTCCAAAATAGCCAGACATTTCTGCTTACTTCCTAGCAAGGGAAATTGCCAACAGCCTTTTTCATTCAAGAGGATGTATGTTTTTCCCATTAATTGGAATCACAAATTAAGCTGTTGTGCACGCTGAATTCTAAGGTCTCGGGTCCCTGGTCAAACTCCACATCGACTTGCTGTAGAAGGTTATCAGCTAAACTTGGATTTCGGGGGCCATTTTCCGATTTTAAGCCTATACCATGTATATATTATGTCGCCAATGCGAATGGTGTGCTTTTGCGAGGGTAAAAACGCCCCAATTTCCGAACCCTGAGTCGAACTCCGGCCGCCGCTGTTTTCTTAACAAGGTGCTACTTACGCAGAGCTGCGTGGCAGCGCGCGTCACAGTTAGCCCTGCATTAAAGCGCCGAGCTGCGCGGAGTTACAGGCGGTCTGTGTGTTACTGCAGAGCCGTTAGTCACGGAGGGCAGCAGGGAGAATTCCCCGCGGGACGCCCGGCTATTTTTAGCCTCGCAGACACAGAGGGGATATTGAGTCGGCTGAAAACGTCGTTTCCTCCCCGCCCACTCGTCTGTAAACAGGCTAAATCCCCGCAGGTCTGCAAACGGCCTCTCCAGGGCTATTTATAGAATGTGTCTGTCCAAGTCAGGTTATTTATAGATAAAAAAGAAATGTTGTATATATGGAACAAGTAATAGGTTTATTCCATGATGATAATAAGAAGAAAGAAAACACAACGTTTCGGCCGTGGAGCCTTCTTCAGGTGTGAGGAAGACAGGGCAGTAAGCAAAGGTAATGTCGCGGGAGGACAAAGGCTGGGAGAGAGGAGGAGTGAGAGGCGGGAGCAGGGGACAGAAGGAGAGGCCAATCAAGAGGTGTGAAGTCAGAATAGGTGTAAAGAGGTGTGAAATGAAACTTCCAATGAATGGAGGAAATTTAAAAGAAATGCATGTTGTATATATACATGCATACATGTATGTATTTTAACTTAAGTATTCCCGATTGTACAGTCAAACTTTGAAACGATTATACAAAGGAGTGTTTGGTTGTCGGAGTTATCAAACACCTGACAAGCACTTAATTCCCCCAGTACTCGATGGCTTAATTGACAGGTGCCACTGACGATGTCATTTAATATCTGGCTGGGAAAAAAAAAACCTGTCCCCTCCGGTGTAACTAGGTCACTTTGCGCGGGGTGTGAAGTGTGTTTCGACTGCTGTCTCCTTCAAGGGCAACAAGAGGGGTGACAGCATCTCCGATCTCCCTGTGTCAAGAGCGCGCCTGACGTTGATGCACTGTACTATACTGTAAGTGGAAAAACATACCCATGAAGACAGACTAGTTTTGTTTCCAATCAGAAGCAAGGGCGTTTTGTATTAAGCCAACAAACCCGCTGTGGACATGCAGGCCAATAAAAAGCTCTTCTACATGGCTAGACTAGATCCTTCGGTCAGTATGTTACTGGCAGCCAAGCCACATCAAGAATGAGAGTTAACAGGAGTCATTGGAAGTCAATGGGACATCTCCACAAGCAGTAAACGTATACTATAGGTGTGAGTGTGTGTGTAAAAACACACTTATATCAGTGGTACACTCTTTCACTTCGGAGTGTTATAGCCTTTTAGTACCTGTTGAAATGTGATCTGTCCCAAACAGCACATTGTAGAATGGGAGCTGTTCCCTGATGCCTTCCTTCTGTTGGTCGCTTGAGTTAAACATTATCTTCTCTCGGGCAGACTTTACACAGTCACGGGCGAAAAATGCGAACAGCGGTTCTGTTACACGTGACAAGGTTATTATGTTGTACTGACTGGAATTCTACCTGCGGGTGACTTATTTCCCCGCGTGATTCCTGTAGGTTTTAAGGAATTCCCCAGAGTTATCCATAACCACCTCTACTTCCAGGAAATGCAACTCAGACGTTTCTTGAAAGAAGCCGGGGTATATCGGCTTCAATGACATTTGTGGGTAGCTCGTTCCATACACCCACAGCCCTTCGCGCAAAGAAGCGTGTTCTCGGCTTTGAAGGTACTTTTAGTTTAGTTTCTGCTTGTCTTTTCTGTCGGATGTCTCTGACTCTGTTGGTGGCGTTGGGGGTTTTGAACACTCGAATAAAGTCGCCTTCGTAACCTGCTTTGTACAGAGCTAAGGAGACGTAATAGTATAACAGTTATGGGGGGGTTATGTCATAATTCAGTTAACTGTGCAGACTGTCAGTACAAGATGAACAGACAAGCAACATATGAAAATATAACTTAGATCAAACAATGAATCAGACTAGGATACAAAATAATACACGAATGGTAAGGAATAAACTGAATAATAAATAATGCGCGTCCATTAATATAAGCTGTGCTGTATTCTGGCAGGCACTGCGTTTAGTGGCATGTCATAATAATAATAAACTTTAGTTTATATAGCGCCTTCAAAGGTGGCTTCTCCAAGCGCTTTGCAGAACGACAACAACATTACGCAATACACCAGATGTGCACAATGAGAGGAGACAGCAGACGGGGGGTCCTGGATACAGCAGGGGCAGAAAGGTAAAGAACAGGACCAGTTCAGTAAAGGCCCTTCTAAAAGAAGAAGGGTTTGGGTCTGGATTTGAAAGAGTTTATGGAAGGTGACTCTCCGATATCCTTGGGGATAGAATTCCAGAGCTCTGGGGCGCAGCAGGAGAAGGCCCAGTCACCCATACAGTGTGGACGGGCTTGGGGGACAGACGGGAGACCAGAATTAAAGGAGCAAAGTGGCGAGGTGGGGAGTAGGACAATAATAGCTGAGACAAGTACTGAGCCTTGAGCCTATAAGGCAGAGCCTTATTGAGCATGAGGAATTTTGAAGTCGGTTACAGATTTAAGACGCATCACTGAAACGTGAATGCACATTCAAATTTTTTAACGGCCCCGAACTCAACGAGCTGTCTGCTGATACGGACATCTGGCGAATCCAGGGAGAACCGCACCTCGCCACTGGAACCGGCACTGATGAACCGTCTGCATGCAGCGAACGCGCGCCCCCTGCTGGTGTCTTCTACAATAGATTCTCAAGTGTTTTCCTTATGCAGCCAGGGTGAGCAGTTTCTCAATTAACAAGGCCACATCTACGTAGCCTTTCATCCCAGAACTCTTTACATATAAAGCGGGACACAATTCAACATCCGCGCTTGAAGTGCTGCACCATCTTGGTGATAGAGCGCAGCCACTCTGCGCCCGAAGTCCCACAGCACATCAGGAGCATCCAGTGAGAAACTGCCTTAGCAGCTTATTTGAGGGGAAGCTGCAGGTGTGGGAATTGTGCAAACCCAGAATGGAGTATGACGAAGAAACCGATATCCTAATCTTCTAGGACGGGCCCAATCGCTGGTTGCGCGGGGATCGGGTTAGAAATAAGGAGCAATTCGCCAGCGCCAGTCTGGGTGCGCAGTTCTGCTCTCTGTAGGAAAAAAAACGGGATTAAACATTTAAAAGGCAAGACGGGAAGCTTCTTGTAAACGTCTAAGCGGGTGAAGCGCCGTAGAGTGCAGTGAACACACGGCACAAGCACAGCAACCTAAAGCATGACCCACCCCGCGGGCAATGCTTGGCAAAACCAGACTCGCGTGGTATGACTGCGGTAGAACACAAATACCGAGTCAATTTCATGGGCTGCACAGTCCCGGGGGGTGAAAAAAGTTAGCCCAGTTCTCATGGACCGGTTTATGGCGCAACCCATTTCCTCTTAGGAAATAACGCCATCACAGCACGAGGTGCGCGACCTTATAAATTCCTCTTCGGTCAGAAAGAGGGTGACGGACGCGGTGCCAGTGGTTTTGAATGTGTCCATTGAAAGGCTGGCAATCGGGCAATATGCAGAGCTGCGCGTCTGAGAGGCCCCAGCACAGGCTACAGACAGGAAGACAGAACCCCTGAGCAGTATAGTTCTCACGCGTAATCGTGCCAGTTTTAAAGTCGACACTCATTTCGGCCCCGGGACAATTCCTGTGTGTTAAAATGCATAAAATAGTTCGGCTCCCGCAGTCCCGAGTGCCCCGGCGTCCGCACAGAAGGAGAGAGGAGGAGAGGAGAGAACTGAACTGAACTGAGAGGCAGAGGGAGGGAGAGAGAGAGAGGGAGAGAGATGGGCTTCCTCTCCTCGCAACAGCAGAGTTGACAGGATACACCGCAAGAAAACAAACACGAAAAGGGCACGGATCGGCAGTTTTTTTTTAACGTGCAGATGAGCCCTGAGCTGCAGAAACGGCGCCTCTTTTTCTTTCTCCCTTGCAGCCGGAGTCGTTGTGGTGCTGTCTGTTGATCTTGGAAAGCACTCGCCGAGCTAAATATACTCGGACGCGTTTCAGCCGCGATTCCAGTTTCGCAATGCGAAAGTTTTAGCCGTCCGCTCTCTGGGGGTGGTGTGTGTGTGTGTGGGGGGGGGGAGAACGCTAGTTCTCCCGGTCAAACCTGCGTTATTCCGACTAAGAAACGACGCGTTCCGTTGCAGGGAGTTGAAAGCAGGCACCCCTCTCCGAGAAAAAGAGACAAGAAGCAGCAAATCTTTGAAATGTTAAGGAAGCAGAAGGCAGAAGCATGCAGCGAGTTCTACTGCGGAGACGAGTGCGCGTACCTGCGGTGTGGGGCGCAGTAGCTGTAGCGGCGGTGACCCTGGCCGCTATTAGCGTCGCCCTGACGGCGTGGTCTTGGGGACAGACGCGCGACTTGTCTCGGTCTTTCCGGACGCTGCAGGACCACCTGGAACAGGTAGGAGCCCGCAACCAAACACAAGCGGATTCTCATACGTGCGGTTTTGAATTATTCGTGTGCCCGACGCCCAAGTACGAGTTCAGAACTGTATGAAGGCCACTGTGTTATGTAACCAGCGCGCTCGCCAGCAGTTCCAGCAAACCGGGACAGCCCCGGCCTCCCTGGACTGCCCCTCCACTCTTCGTGTTTAGTTCAGTGGTCGCCTTGCTCTAGTCCACGCAGGGCACCGTAATGCCGTGGAAATCGTTAATCTCCTGTCTCCACCAAGCCTCGGTTTCGAAAAATTGGATTCATCAGCTTTCAAAATAGATATTTTCCTTATTAGCACTTCTCGTAGTGTTAGCAGTAGTAACAACAACAATGACGACAAGGGCAACAGCTTGACCACCGTTGCTTACCTGGTTGCCAGCTTTTATAATCGAGGATCTCGTCCGACCGCTTGAAAGATGCGGCTCGAACAGC